GTTTTGTTTTATTTTTTTTAAGAAAAAAACACACTTCAATTTGAATTATTCCTAAAGACAAATGAGTGAGGTCGTGCAAAAGCCCTAGATCAATCAGAGTTAGACATTAACACCATCGGATGCCGGTACAGTGGTCTGATGGTTAGAAGTTTGCGCACAATACCGAAGGTCCCGGGTTCGAATCCTGCGAGGTGCAGGACAGGAGTCATGGATGCGCACTGCCACTGATGAGTCCCATACCAGGACTTGATGGCCATTCAGTGCTTCCAGGTTTCTAATGGTGGCCTAACAATGATGGACTGATGATTTCAAATGTGCTTTGGTCAAAATTTATAATGACTTTAATAGAATACGATGTAATTACGTGTTCATTGGATTTGTTTGTTGATGGATGAAGAATATGAAATGGAATTGGTCTATAGATTGAAAATCAGCTGTCGATAAAATAAACCAACTCTGTATAATCTATCTTTACCTAACATGGTTTCTTTAGATGTTTAGAATTGTAGAATAGGAACAGTTATCTCGCCTAGTTGTCATGATGGATTTAGAAGAGCGACCTCGCAAACAAACAAATCATCAGTAGCAAAGGAATAGATCTACAGCTAAATCGTAAAAAGAAAGTTAATTTCATTAGACATTACACCATACTAGTGACTGACTATAAACCATCACCGATTGTGTTTGGATCGAAGAAAAGGTTCTCAAGTCTGATTAAGACTTGAGAATTAACACTAGTTTATGAAGAGTTTCGTTTAAGCTTATGTCCTGCCATTAACTGTTGATACTTACTAGCAGTAAGAATAGAAGCTGGTACAGCAGTTTCTCAAATATTAATAAATACAGTCTGTAGACAACTATTTGCTTCCAAACTGTTAAAGAAGGCACATAGTACGACATGAGATCAAGAGGAGTCAGGTATATTCTTCTTAATAAATTGTTAAACTCCCATTTTCAGGGTGCACAGTCGTTGACGGGTACACAGTATTTTGAGATCGAATTGTTTCGGAAAATTTTCCATTAATAAGTTCTCAAACAAGTTTACAGTAATCACCTAAGCATTTTTTTTCTCTCCATAATGCAAAATCTTAAGTGAGATATTGGTTATCAATATCTACTTATTGCTGAGGTACTGACATTAAGTGTATGTGTATGGCTTAATTATTATTACTCACTGAAAATCAAATTTACTAAAACAGTAAGCCTAGTTAAATAAATATGAGAAGAAAGTTAAGTTAGCTAGCTCACAAAGAAAAAACAACACATTCATGTATAAAATAATAGAACTGAAAGTGAATAAAATCATTTAAAGCAATTATCTGATTAAATTTATTGTAATTAGAAAGAAAATTAGGATTAAATCTTTTCTATCATGGGAAACTATACACAAGGTAATTGAATTAATCAATAAGATTAAAAAACTAGGCGAAACTCGATTGTTTACCATATTCACGACTCAATTATCTGATTGATAATCAAGAATCAAGTGTAAACTAGAATATTATTTTATTGATACAATGATGTAAGCAGTCTTATGCTGAGAAAAATTAGAATAGAATCTGTTTCGTACGTAACATAATAATCTCTTACATCCCTTACATACAAATGATATGTTTATCTCCACTTATTAGCCAGTCGCATTTCATTTTTCTCACTACATCAAAGAAATGAGAGTTTTCATTGGTTAGTTAGGAGTCGATGAGGTTAAGACTTAATCTCATATTATTTTTAGACTAATTTTAAACTAAAAAGTGCTTATTTTTAGAAATTCTGAAAATGGGATATCTGAAATCTTGGGAGATAATGTTGTTATTTACTGGAAAATTTGAACAGATGTCACTCAGTTTGCAATAAAATTTGCATACGTTATCATTTGAACATTTCAGCAACTGAAATATGCTAAACTGTTTGACCTTCAGAATTGTAGGATTACTGGAGGATACTTTTTGAATATCTTTCGCAGTCACTAAAAATGTAATGAGCAATATTGTGATACGTTGCGTTAAAAACATCATTTACTGCACAATATCTGTAGATAACTTTGTGATTATTATTTCTTGGACTTTTGTTGAGTCTTCACTTATCAATCTGGAGCCTACGTCTCCTGTCCAAACTTATCAGTATAACGGCATCGTACTATGAAGTTAAATTCAAGCGCCATAGGCACTCATCTCTGTAGCCGGTTGGTACCATATGTTTAGAGACAAAAACAATGAGCAACAATCTGTGATTGGTTAACGGAGTAGATTTTCAGTAGATATAAATGTCAAAGGTTTCACATTGTTTTGGCTGAGTTTTTTTGCTATTTGGTTTAGTTATTGAAAAGCCTATACGATTCCGTCTTCATTACCATCCCCGGACATATGAGACAACTTCACTCACATTAAGACTTAAGTCATTCACTGTTACAATCTTTAAGGTGGGGTATTTGTGCATTAGCAACATTTCGGAACTAATTGTAGAATTTAAATTACAAAATCTAAGATCACTTTGTAAATTTACTAATCGTTGAAACTTGTTTGCACTGTCCTTTAGTGTCAATTTTAGGTCTTAGTCTAGATTACTCATGAGTCACATTCTAGTATCCTTAAATATAGAAGACTTTAGATTATATATGAATAGTAATGACTTGAGTCAATGTCCGGTCAGAGATTTTAATTTAAGTTGTTCACAGTCTCTGTTATCACCATATTATAGTTTGTGGATTTTACACGTCTCATCAAATGTTCCATATTGCAAGTTAGCACTCTAACCATGACCAATAGTAAACATTTTGTAAACTTCTTACAATATTGAAATGAGTGAACAGTGTTTATTGAAATAACAAGATAATTATAATGTAAAGATTAACAATAAAAGACCTTTCAGTCAATCATGAAAAGAATCTAGGTTATCTACACAGCTAAGAGTTGAACAGCTATTGGCTACTCAAAGTAATACACAACAAGTGTCTTGGTTATATTAGTTTTATTTGAAAATTCATTGTTTAAAACAACTTTAATTCATTCTGTAATCTAAGCAGTTTCAATTTATTACTTCTACTGAATTAATCTACTACTATCAATGTCCCTAAATTTGTACAAACAACGTCTCTTCTCTCTCTCTCTCTCTATTCTAGTCCTAGTATCAAATCAAACATAAACTTTTCAGAAATCAATTTTTTATGATTATTAGAAATAAAAATTTACATTTTCTTAACATAAACACAAATACTTGAACCGTTTTTTTTAGTATGGTTGTTAAAAAAAAACAAGTCTTCAGAAATAGATATAAAAAAAGTCCAAAGTACATAACATAACATTTTTTGGTGAATTTGTTTATCTCATGAAAATTATTTCTCATATCAGTTTTTATCTGAATTGAATATAATTGTGTAACAATTTCTTTGAAAATGTATGTTCGTCTATTTTCTAATTTACTTAAATCTAATTGTTCAATATTAAATTATTTTCAAATTAATGATCAATTTCCTGTATGTTGGTTTTCTTTTTTTTAAAAAAATACAAAGTCATTGATCTACTAATTCGCTAATCATGGAAATTTGTTGAATTAAAAACGATTACGTAATAATAATTTGAATTGTATTCTTATTGTATTAAATGTAGATCACTTTAAAGTTTATTTTAATACCATAGAAAATGATGCAAACCTAATATTCATTATAAGGTTGTGCAGATTTTTGAATTGTATTGAAATAAGAGAATCGATCAATTTTAGACCAACATTAGAAACCTGGAAACACTGGATGGCCTGTTTCGTCTAGTAAGAAGTTGTGACCAGTGGCATTTTAACTATGTCAGGTGTGAAGCAGTGCCCAACGACGATAATGGACGAGGTTGCATAAAACTGTGGATTAACTAAAGTTAGACACTAACACCGTCGGATGCTGGCTCAGTGGTCTAGAGATTAAGCATTCGCTCACAAGACTGAAAGTCGTTCGTTCGGTTCTCGGGTACGGAGGTGATGGATATTTGTAATGCTGGGCTAACATTGACTGATTCATGGTTTTAATAAATCTAATAGTTACTGTTAAGCAGACAGTTTTTACGTTCGACACTAGGTACGCTTGAAACTATTACGGCTTCACCTTAGTCGATAAACGCAAACGAGACAATTACCAGAGACCAGGTAGGCTACCTTGAATACCAAACTGCAAAACAGAAGTCTTGATAAGCGTAGAAAGTATATTCTACAAACACCCAGAAAGCACAATACAATCAAGCGCACAACTATTGTTTATTTATACATCATAGAAACGTCCTTGGAACAGTTATGAAAATAGCACACTAAAATACACAGCCAATCACAGCTATGTATTTTCCTGGTGGGAAATGAAAACTCAAGGTCAACTGATCAGTCCATTCTCGCAAACTTGAAAACCAAAATAAGACATTTATCAAGCGAGTTCTGGGGATCTAGCATCCCCAGCAACAATAATAAATAATAATTTTTGTTCTGAGTTTTAAATTAATTAATAGTTCACAGTATTTATTCGGTTCTTATGAGAAGAGTTTTCTTTATATATTTGATAATTCATACGTTCTATAGTGTATATTAGTTGTCAAACTATTGTCAAACATATATACAATGTTCTCAATGATTTTCTAATAGTTTTCCTTTAATTCATATTATTTACCGATGAAGATTGTTTACAGATTTGAAATCATCAATCAATCATTGTTAGACCACCATTAGAAACCAGGAAGCGCTGGATGGCCGTTTCGTCCTGGTATGGGACTCATCAGGAGTGCACATCCACGACTCCTGCACCTCACAGGATTCGAACTCGGGACGCTCGGTATTGTGCGCGGACGCCTAACCATTGGACGTTTGGACCGGCATCCAATGGTGTTAATGTCTAACTCTGATTTATCTAGGGAATATTGTTTAAAAAATAATTAAAAATCTTAGATGATCCTGAATTCAATTATATGAAAAAATTAAATTAATTAATTAGTTAATAGAAAAAAAAACCCACTAATGATCAATGGTACACTTACTCCAATTTCAGCAAATTTCAATAGTTTTTCTGATTCAGTTCTATTTAAATTTGGTAAACACCAAATATTTTGTGTACGTGTTATACGTTCTTTTAAATTTGGACCTGTTTGTGAGCATTGAAATGCATTGTTATATGAATCATTGTAAAATTTATACATTTTATTTATATTTGGCTGATATAAATCCGACTGATGTCGATTTAATTGATTTGTTTGTTTATATTCATTAGAAGGCATAGGTGGTATAAAAAAGAATAATTCATCAACTTCATCATTATTATACAGATTACGGTCATCATCATCATCATCTTCATCATAATCATCAATGTTGTCATCAAAGTTATCCTTAACATCATCATCATCATCGTTATTATTACAATTATCAACTGCATCAATATCCAGAATATCATTTAATTCACAAGTAATATGATTATCATTTGAAGAATCAGTATAACATGAATTAGTCGGTGAGATATTACTTAAATTATAATTATGAGTAGTATTATGCATTGATCCACTTTCTTTAGAATTGAATACAATTTCTGAACGAAACATATTTGAATTGACTACTGCAACTGGATGTTTCTCATCATCATGTTCAGTTGGTTGATTGAAATCAATATTTAAATGATTATTATTATTATTATTATTATTATTCATATCTATTGGTTGTTTTATTTGATTATGATAATGATTTAAAGAAAGATATTGTAATTGATGCTCATAGATATGACGTGTTGATACATGAAATGTTGATGATTTACTTAACATTCCTAAAATGTAAAGTTCAAAAAAAATAATAATAATTAAAACATTAAACAACTTTAAGTTCATTTACTAAATAATTAAACATTTCACTATTTTTCATAAATTTTTTCTTTTCGTTTTTTCTTAAAATAATAATGATGATATTGTATAGGTGTGTTTGAAAAAGATTTTTTGTAAAGATTCAATTAGATTGTGTTAATTTATTAAAAAAAATTAATTGCGTGTGTAAACTTGCATAATGATTGATCTGAAAGATTAAATCACTAGTTTTATATAACTAGTTTTATAAAACGTTAAGGTAAATTTTATTTAGTAGTATACAAAACATACTTACGTGTAAGTAACTTATAGAGTGAAGCATTCCTACTTACAAACAAACACACACACACACACAATATCTGCTTATCTTCCAATATTGATTTGATTTGTCATGATTTACTGATATAGACGTTTATTTAAGAATAGCTTAATATCTTGATTTAGAAAAATATAATTATAGTAGTAGGTATCATTAGTCAGAGGTCAAATCTTACCATGTTTCATATTGGAAAGATTATGCATTTGTGTAATAATGTCAATGTGAACACTGAAACTCAGGTACATCCATCTGATGAGTACGAAATAAGACAAAACATGTCTCTTGTCTTTCACTAGCAGCTACAATTCATATATTTTAAAAAAACTAGTGTGAAAATTATAACGTAAATGTGCTAAGAAACCGTAAATAAATGCTTTATAACCAATGAGACTCACTATAAGTGTATTTCTGAAACAGTTAATCATTTAAAAATGCAATGAATGTCTCCTACAAAGCTTTTGGATTAAAGATGTCTGATATTTTCAATCTGGAGACGAATTTATTTTTAAATCATTTATTACTATATAAGTGAAAATTTGTAAAGTATCACGCACTGCAATGTGTATTACAAAATGTATTTCTAGGTATAAAATATAATTCATTTAAAAAAATTCCATTCAAATAATTCTAAAAATATTTCAGAATACGAGAACCGACAAAACTTGTTCCACTATACTTTTCCGGGTTTCTTCTAGAAATTCTGAGAATTACTTTTAAAGTTAGTTACTACGACTAATTACGAGTGGAGTTCAACCTTGAAGTGCCCACGAAGATAATAGATGATGGTTGACAGTGTTATGGACTGGGTGAATTTAGACATTAACATCGCTTGATGCCGGTACAATGATACAGAGGTTAAGCTTTTGTGTAAGAAAACGAACATTCTAGGTTCGATTCCCGCACGCAGGTGTCGTGGATGCGTACTGCTGATTAGTCCCAGAACTGGAACAAAATAGCCGTCCAGTACTTCCAGGTATTTAATGGTGGTCTTACACTGACCGATGTATGATTTCACAATTGTAAAGTAGAGTTTGATATCTTAATTTTGAATAAACCAAATTTTATGAATTTACACAACTACGCAAGTTAACAATTTTGCATTTTTCAATAAATTCAAATAAATTATTTTATTCGAAATTATTGTTTCTTCCATTTTAATTCTATCAAATCTAACATAAAATATCAGTGACATAATGAAAGTAAATGACAATTTTTATCATGAATTATATTTTATTGGTAAAATCATATTTATTAAAAAAGCTTCAAGTATACCATACCAGAAAATAACTGAATAAAATTTAGTGCTTTTTTGTTCAGACGACCATCTTTTTTCAATAAAATAATAATAATAATAATAATAATGATATAAAGCACACTTAGTCACATAATGTAAACACATGTGCCTGTGCATTTGCACAAGGAGACTGTACAACACTTGAATGTTGACAAAGTAAAAAGCGTGAAAAATCAAAAGCCCTTCATCTAAGAATATTTTCTAAATTTGACGTAACAAAAAAATGAAGAATGATAATTTATCAGAAAATAAGACTCTTTTTTCTCAAAAACATTTCACTGTCACCAAAAAAATTATAAAAGAGGATAGTTCAACTTTCATGTGTAAATTATTTACATGTAAGTGCGTGTGTGTGTGCACGCGTGTGCGCTCATCATCATTTGAAAGTTTGCTGAATGAAAGAAAAACCCAAACATGTCTGTCTTTTTAATAGTGTTCTTTTATGAATGAATAAAGTTATCTTCCTTTTTGACTGAATGTTTTTCCAAACACATTAGCCACTTTCTGCTTTTAGAAAAAGACAAATTTATCGGGTTTTAATAGTATAAAGTTTTATGGTGAAAAAGTTAAATGTGTGAATTATTCAAGATAGAATTAATTGGTTATGTCAATTTTCAATTGACCAATCAAATTTGTCGTACAATTTTTATTGTAGAATTTTTAAAAAGTACATATTTTTTGGATAAAACATATTGGTTTATTTTAACTAAGATAACATTGAATAAATTTATTGTGAATTTAATTTATTTCGATCAAAGAAAAACATTTTAATTGATTAAAATGGCAAGTGTAGTGAAAACAGAAATCATTTCGAAATGGATCAGTTTTGTTCATGATACACGGTGTTTGAGGCTGATACTGGTTACATAAACATCCTATACGTCTGCTTCCAATCAATTTTTAATAGTAAGAAGATAAAAATTATGAAAGGAAGTTTCTTAGGCTAAACTGATTATCACTCTGTTACTTACTGTTACTTACACCTGTCACCACCAATGGAGCATAGGCTGCCGACCAGTGTTCTCCAACTTACTATGTCCTGGGCTTCCCTTTCCAGTTCTTTCCAATTTTTGTTCATTCTTCTCATATCTTTCTCTATTTCTCTGCGTAATATGTTTTTGACCTTCGTCTTTTCCTTTTACCTTGAGGGTTGCAAGTAAGTGTTTGTCTTGTGAGGCAGTTGGGTGCTTTTCTCAGAGTGTGTTCTATTCACTTCCAACACTTTTTCCTGATTTCATCCTTCGCAGGAATCTGGTTCGTTCTTTCTCATAGTAGGTTGTTTCTGATGGTTTATTGCCAACCGGTACGAAGCATTTTGAGTAGACAACTGTTAATGAATACTTGTATCTTCTGGACGATCGCTTTCGTAGTTCTCCAAGTTTCCGCTCCATACTGTATAGATGTCCTGACATTTTTATTGAAAATCCTGATTTTGGTGTTGGTTGATAGTTGTTTGGGGTTTCAAATGTTGTTTAGTTGTAGAATTGCTGTCCTTGCTTTGCCGATCCGCGCCCTCACATCTGAATCGGATCCATCTTGCACTTCAATGATGCTGCTCAAATACGTAATGTTTTTACGTCCTCTAAGGCATCGCCATCAAGAATGATTTGGTTGTCGCATGTTATGTTGTATCAGAGAATCTCGCTTTTCCTCTTATGTGTGTTGAGAACTGCTGCTGCTGCTGAGGCTGCTGCTACACTGGTCGTCTTCCCTTGCATTTGTTGTTGCGTGTTTGATAGAAGAGCCAGATCATCTGGGAAGTCCAGATCGGCCAGCCATATCCTAGTTGTCCACTGATGTTGATGTCTTCATAATTTAGTCGATCACCAGGAGAAAGAGAAAGGGTGAGAGCAAGCAACCTTGCCTGACACCGGTCTTCAGCTCAGATTAGTCTTTCAGTTGTCGTCCGAGCACGCTTTTGCAGTTTTATCCACCATAAAAATTCCTCACGATGTTACTATCTTCTCAGGCACGCCATAGTTTCGAGGAAGCCTTCATAGTGTCGTCCTGTCCATGCTATCAAATGCTTTCTTGTAGTCTAATGAAATTGATGTAGAGTGGTGAATTTCATTCAATAGATTTTTCCACAAAGATCCGTCATATTACAATTTAGTCAGTACACAATCGATGCTTACGAAATCCAGCCTGTTGACCTCGAAACTGGGCATCTACAAAATACTTCATTCTGATTAACAACAACCTGTTGAAGACTTTGCCTGGTACAAATAAGTCCTCATTTACTTATATACGTATCTGCTCAAGTGAATGAGGTATGAAGACAAATCATGTAATTTATAATGCTATGTATATAATAAAATCATTTATGAATAATTGAAAAGTATGACTAGATGTCATTTATATTTGCCATGAGAGTATTGTCAGTTTAATATCATTTTAATTTTAGCCATTAACGATTTGTCTGTAATTCGAATGATTTAGATAAATATAAATATAACGTAAAGGTCAAAGTTTAAATATCAAATAATTAATTGTTGTAGATATTTTAGCATATAGAAGAGAAAAACTTATCATCATCAGTCTATTAAGAATTTTGTAAAAATTCTAATTGAACTGTAATCAAATTCTTATTAAATAAATTGAGGAAGTAAAACAATTAGGATATTACAAGTGCATAGCTTCAAGACAATATGTGACTCTGATTTAACTGATTACGTAATGCATGATAATATTAATAATCATGAAAATAAATTAGCAATTTTATTGGATACTGTTGTGTACAATAACAAAAAAGTCATTTTCGAAAAATGATTAATTCTGTTTACTAATTGGTTAAAATTCTAATATCTTTATTGATCAATATTAAATCTGTGATATTAAATGAACTATTATCATAACTTGTAAAACACTGAAATAATCAGAATAGTTTGACTCAAAAAAAACAGACTGTAAAACCTAAAGGAGGTTAAGCATTCACGCACGAAACCGAAAGTTCGGGGTTCGATTCCTACTTGATGAATCATTCATGGATGCGCACTAGGGCGTAATGACTGTTCAGTGCTTCCAGGTTTCGAATAGTGATCTAACACTGAATCGATTCATGATTTCAGTAAAACAGACTAATTGAATAAGAATCAGTGTAAATGAATCTGAATTATTGGGATAAGAAAAAAACAGACAAGAGAAACGATTTAAAAACGGATAAAGTTTGTTAAACAACAAATCAGTTCGCTGAAAATGAGTCAACTACATAAACAGTATTATAAATATATCGAAATAACTATGACACTATTTTTAACAAATAGCTAAGTATTCAAATAGGAAAAACAATTGATTAACAGTCATATCATTCAGAGAGGGATGTAGATTGAATATTGTCAATGTCTGTAGTGT